CCAACGTATTAGAACAAATCAATACTTACCAAGCTTCCTTGAACATGAGAAAATTGAGAAAATCTAAGTTCGTTGAAGCTCCTTCACACTTGAATGTGTGATCGGGACCATCCACCCCTCCGTCAGGGCATCAGCTCAGTGTGCCCCTGCACCCAAAATCATCGTCGTTTCTGGCCGGCCGTGTGGCCTATAAAAGGAAAAGGCCTGAGATGTCTACTTTTTTTTTTTTACTTCAATTACTAACTTGAGCATTATAGTATATTAGGCGGGACGTTGCATCGACGTTGAGTTTTCTGGTTGCAGGCTCATTTGCTCCTCGATGAACACGATCATCCGAGAGACACATGAGAAATATTTAATTTGTTTCGGTCTAAATAAGAGAAATAAATAAATAGTAATTAAATTTGTCAATTCATCTAAAAATACACGAGTGAAGTCTAACCACCAACAAGTTAACTACCTAGTCATCATTTTTTGTTGAGTTTGAGACTAAGGATGAACTCAATTCAACAACCAACCATTCAAATTTCAATGATCAAACATGTAACTTTTGAAATATAAAAAAATAAAAAAAGAAATTAAATTCAGACTATACCTATAAAAATAATCGTTTTGAAACTTAAAAGATCAAAATGAAAATCAAAGATAAAAACTTCATAGACTAAAATTATAATTTGCTTTGGTTCAAAATTACACATGCTTGATGCTTCGAGAACAAATATTCTCAAGAATTAAATTGGAATATTTGGATTGAAAATATATGCTTCCCCTTTTTTTGAGACTAAAATTTAAGATGTAGTTAAACATTTTGAGAGAATGGGTTTTAGTGTAGAACATATTCGCCGCATAACATAGTTCCAAGAAGAAGAAAAAAAACCTTTTTTAACAAAAAAATAAATAAATAAATAAACAATATATGATTTCTATTTTTTAAAATATAAATCTACTTTCTCCTTTAAATTCAAAATTTTCAGGCTTATTTTACTTTCACTTATAAACTTTTAAAATATTTATTTTATTCTATAATTTTTAAATTTATTTCATTTTAGTTTTTAAAATTTCAAAATATTTATGGTAGTCTCTAAACTTTAAAAGTATATATCATAATTATCATTATTTTACTTTTAAAAAATGGATAGTGTTGATTCGGGTATATTTAGTAAATGTTGTAGGCATATATTGGAGCCTTAAAAATGGATATTAAGTAGCAAAATAATATAATAATAATGATAAAAATATATATATTTCAAAGTTCAGGTACCAAAATAATTATCTTTCTAAACTAGAATAAAATAAATAAATATTATGGACATTCGAAATATAGTAGAATAAACCTTAGTTAGAGTAGACTAACATTAAATTTAATTTTTTTTTCCACTTCATCACATTACAAATGGGAAAATAACTAATGAACTGTTCATTAGTCTCCGATTGGCATAAGTATTAATTTTTCGAAATTGAGTTGTACTAAATCTTGGGTTTTTTTTATGGGTTTTTTTTTTGTTACTTTTTCGAAATTGCGTTGTTCTAAATCTTGGGTTTTTTTATTGGTTTTTTTGTTCAACCAAAAAACCTTGAGTTGAAGCGCATAAAAAGTGATCACCATTACCAACATGAGTATAGCAAATTAAAACAACTTGCTCTTTTCTAGAGATCGGAAGTTTTTTAGAAGTTTTGATTATCAATCTTCCATTCTCATATTTATTGTACTAAAATAGAAAAAAGAAATTGATTATCATTTGATACATGATAAAGCTTTTTATAAGCAGTTGTCGATTCATTCCATTGCAGTCCAGTTTCGCTTAATTGGTGCAGTAAAGACTAACAGGTGTCTCCTATATTGTTTATTTTGTAGATGAAATAATTGATATCACAAAAGGGGATGTAGCTCAGATGGTAGAGCGCTCGCTTAGCATGCGAGAGGCACGGGGATTGATATCCCGCATCTCCAAATTTATCATTATTAATATTTTAAATAAACAACTGTCAACCCACGTTTGGTTCCTATTGTCGATATAACTTGAGCTTAAATTCTAATTTGGACACTATGATTTTAAAAATGTGGGACCAATTTTGAAGAAGTCAAAATTAAAATTTATAAAATCATAAAGATAAAATCGAAAATTAAACTAAAACTATAGAGACTAAATTGAAAATTTTAAAACTATGTACACCTAATTTAAATTATATCTCAACCATGAAAGACCAAATTTATAATTTAATATTTTTCTAACACCTCCCCATATTGTACTAAAAAAATAGAATATTATGTATTAATACGTTAACGGGTGAAGATTAGTTTCAGTGAATAATTAATTACAGTTAGTGAAAATAATTTACTTAAACTAATTTATCTAATTCAAATTAATTAATGAAATATATTTATTATGTTATTAAATAATTAATAATTTCCATAATTACTTAATTCTGTGAATTTAATAAAAAAATTTCAATAAAAATGAATTAAGTATATTTTAATAAATCAATTTAATTTTAGTAACTTTAGTACACTACTACCAATTAACTTTAATGTATTATTATTGACTACAAATTTAATTGAAACATACTAACTAATTTAAAGTAACAAAATGTAACTAAGTAATACATATAAATATATTTAAAGAATTATAAAAATAGCACAAAAGGAATATATATTTACATATGTACGGGTAACATTAGGTTTAAAATTTTATAAAAATTACATAGATCGCAAACCAATACAATTAGATGAAACTAAGCAGAAGTCACTTCTGTGATATTTTAAAAAAAATAAAAAAATATAATGATATTTCTATCCCTACATATTTATTTTATGTAATTTAGTATAATTTTCCTCAATCTTTTTTTATATCTCATTTCTTTTCTTATTTTATGAGCTACACACTTTTTCAAAATTACCTTACAACTTTTATCTTTTTTCCCTCATCTATTAATGAAATTCCTAACTTTTTAATTAATTATTTTACAATTTTATAATTTATGGTTTAGTGTTACTACTCACCATTTTTCTTATAATAAAAAATTTATACAACTTTTATTAGTTGATGTAATTTTATAATAAAATATTATAAATTTTTATTTAATTAATAAATTATTCAATTTTACTTTGTTATTATTAATTAATGTCAATAAAATTGTTAAAATGAAATTTATTATTATTAAATATTATAACAATAAAAGCATTTTTGAAATGTTTATTTTGGAAGTAAAAAAAAATGTTTATTTTGGTCCTTGTATTGTCAAATTTTGTTTATCTTAGACATTGTACTTTCAAAACTTCTGTTTTTGTCCCTCAACTTTTAGGAAGTGACTAATTTTGTTTTTATTTGCAAAATTTTAACACAAAATACAATCGAAACTCTTTAATACAAATTTATGTCTACATCTCAAAAATAAAGTTGATCGAAATAAATGAAATAAAAATAAAAAATAAAAAGATAAAAATTGTCACTTTTTAATCATACATGCACCAAAATAGACAACTTAAAAGTAGATGGATCAAAATAGATATTTTAAACGTACATTGATTAAAATAAACCAAAATCATATGAGCCAAAATAATAGTTAAACTTAACGAGTATTAATATATTTGGTCCACATTCCCCACACAAGGTAAAATTTACTTTTTACCGACCTAAATATACTTAAATAGGTCAACATACCTATCTACGATTACAAAATCGTGGTATTGTTAAATAATATATATTTATTATGAGAAGAAACATACAAACAATATTTACAAATGCAAAAGACAAAAAGTGGCTTCTAGAATTTTGAAATACGAGGCAAGTATGGCCATCTGGCAGCCGTTAATAAATAAAAATATCTATATTGCTTTGGAGATTCTTACAACAAAAACAAAAAAAGTAGAGTTAAATTACTATTATAGTCCTATAAAGGCCCAATTTAATCTCACTTCCAAAATTATTAAGCTTTAAAAAATAAAATTAGTTTCATGTTAAAATTACAGAAAAAAAAATTGATATTGTGTTACGTGACATTTTCTGAACACATAATAAAGAAAATACTTCAATCTGAACAGATTTCCATCTCGATTACCATTGCAAAATTGACAACTCATTATTTTTTAAGATTTTTTTTATTTCTTCTTTTAAGTTATCAAAAATTCAATATCTACCCACATTCACAAGTTAAAACACTTTTAAGTATTTTATACCTAATAATACATTTATTTGGAAATAACCAATATTGCAAACATGAACTTAACTTTATTTTTTAGACGGAAAAGGTGGAAGGTTCGAATCCCTATACCTGCATATTCTTGAAAAAATATACTTAACTTTTACATATTCTTGAAAAAATATACTTAACTTTTACTTTTGTATTCCACTCCCACATTTACCTACTAATTTTAACCAAATCTCCAAAAATTTATTAATTTTGATATGTATCAAAATTAGGTTCAATAAATACATAAATCAATTATTAAAAAAAATTGAATAAACCTAAGAAAAACTCACAATTTTCAACTATAGAATCTTTGTAATCTTATCTATTTCTTACTAGATCTATGTTTAATAATTTATTCAACAAACATTTTTTCTTTAACAATCCTACAAATAAAACAAAAGTCCCGAAAAAACTTGTTAGTGAAGGAAGATCTCTTAAGGATAAAAGTCCGAAGTATCCGCTTTACTGGRTAGAATGCCTTCGACTGTGAGTTATCAATCCACTCTTAACCATAGCCGTGACAACCCACGAATAAACTCAAACTTTTCGGCCTTGACTCAAGTCTTCATGTCCGCTCTTCTCCACCCGCAACCCAAGTAAAAAAAGAGATTTATCAATACTTATCTAAATTTAAGGTCAAATTTAATGAAAGTAACACTAAAAATCGATACACTTTGTCAAGTTAAAAAATAAACCTAGTTTGGGGTTGAGGGACTAAATCGGTAATTTAAACCATAAGAAAAGAAATTAGACCCAAAGGGAAAAAAGAAAAGAAAAGAATAAACTGAAATCTTCAGAGCTTCAGCTCTTCTCACCCAACACTTGGACAGATACGTCTTTCTTTGTTTTGTTTCCAGTCGTTTTCCTTTTCCCTCCCTTATTTATCGTCTATAAGAACCTCACCGGCGGCGAACCACTCACTTTCCGGCGAATATTCCACCGGCGATTTCACCGTTTATCACTTCATTTTCCTTTCCATGTTCGCCATACCACTATGCTCTTCTCCGGTTCCCTTACTTCCTCAACCGCCTTCCCCGATCAACCATGCTAAATCCAAATTTCATTCATCCCATTGCTCCTACGTCTCCGTTTCCAGTATTTCGAGTTCGCAATCCAGATTGTGGTCTTCGTCTCACTGTTCCACTTCTAAGAATTGCCGGACGGCGAGCAATGGAGCTCTATTTTCGTTTGCTTGTTCGACGTCGCCGTTCGTCGGGAGAGTAGGGTCGCGGATTAGGCAGGGGAATTTCTCGCTCTTGTCTTTTGGATTGAACTCTCATGCGGCGGCGGACGGCGGAGGTGGCGATTCGTCTCAGCTCTTATCGGCGTTGCTTCCTTTTGTGGTAGCTGCAACCGCGATTGCTGCTCTGGCTCGGCCTTCCACTTTTACTTGGTGATTAATTTGGATCTTCTCGATTTGGTTATTGTTGTTTCCAGCTTTCAATGCTCGTTTCTTAGCCTTTTATTTTAATATTTAAAGTGAATTTTATTCTCATTGAAGTCAGCATATTGGACTCTTGTTCTCTGCAAAATGATGATTATTATATTTTTATTCATTCTATAGTTTCTATATCCTTGTTACTAAATGTAGGTTCTGTGGTTCAAGCTTCATTACTATTCATTCACCTGTCAAATATTTAAATAACGGTTTCTTTTATCATCAGCTAGTCAACTTTCTGGCTGTTTTTATCTTATTGTTATATTCATTTTCTATGTTTGTTTCTTTTTTGAGGTGATCTTTGAAACTTTCAATTTGCTGGACTATAATCTGAGAATACAGTCCACAAACTAATATTGAAGTTTCAAATCAGAAGCTTCCCTGTTTTCCCTTTTCAGGTTGCTATCTTATTTAGATGATTGGATCATTGACAAAACTAACATTTATAGTGTTATGTTACCATTTCTGAGGTGGTGCATGTAGTTCATACAAAATATCAAATTAATTTTAGTGTTTTATGAAGTTTTTGACTTGGGATTTTACAGGGTTCCTAAGGATCTCTATGCCCCAGCTCTTGGTGGGATAATGCTATCTATTGGGATTAAGCTTTCCATTGATGATTTTGCTCTAGCAATTAAAAGGTTTATGCATCTTCTGAATTGCCAATCATATTAACCTAACCACATTTGAAAACTCGAGTCTGTTCTTGAGAATTCTTTCATTTTGTCTATTATTTGCAGGCCTCTACCACTTTCTGTTGGGTTTATCACTCAGTATGGTTTGAAACCAGCTCTTGGGATATTGATAGCTAGAGCATGTGGCATATCTCCAATGTTCTATGCAGGATTTCTTCTCACAGCCTGTGTTGGAGGGGCCCAGCTATCAAGTTATGCCAGTTTCTTGAGTAAAGGAGATGTTGCCTTAAGTATTCTCCTTACCAGCTTTACCACCATCTCATCCGTGCTTCTAACACCTCTGTTGACTGGCGTTCTGATCGGTTCTGTTGTTCCAGTTGATGCAGTTGCTATGTCCAAGTCAATATTGCAGGTAATGGTATTTCAATGAATTTTTGTATGATAGATAAGAATCATTGATTTCAAAAATAGTAGTACAATGATAAGGGAAAACAGGGAAACTTTCCATTTTTTTGTAGTATATATCCCATTTATTAATATTCACCCGTGTAATCATTTGGTATATATTATGAGGGGTTTATATTGTTCATTTGTTTTAGTTGGAAAGAGTATTTACTGCAGTAGTACTGGAATTTTTCCCGAGAAACATGTCCTACTTTGTTGCTAATGTCTAAAACTAAGCACTAAAAAAATTAGTACAATGAAGTCTTGATATATTGGATTTCTCATTATCTAGGCACCTGCTTGAATCAGGGAGTTTTTCTAGTCTTCATAGATAAAATTTTCTTCTTGGCAAGTGAGATAAACTAACAGAAACTTCTTATTTGGAGGTTTTATTATGTGTGTTCTTTTCCTTCTCCAGTTCTTCAGTTATTTTTTGCTCTGTTATTACGCATATCCTTCCTATTTCTCAGCTGTAACCAAGCTTTAACAACCTCTCACTAGCAAGAACTGTTCCTCATATTAAAAAGAAAAAAAAAAGAACTGGTATATTTTAAAGGATCAAAGTTGTCCTGTATTATACTGATATAATTATTAATGTTTGGTTATTTACATTCCCGGCATTGATGCAGGTTGTTCTTCTTCCAGTTACTCTTGGACTCGTCCTTAATTCTTATGCAAAGCCAATCGTGGCCATTATTCAGCCCGTGATGCCTTTCGTTGCAATGATATGTACTTCATTGTGCATTGGCAGCCCTCTTGCTATAAACAGGAGCCAAATCTTGTCGATAGACGGTGTCCGGTTGGTTTTTCCAGTATTGGCATTTCATACTTTGGCTTTCACTTTCGGATACTGGGCTTCCAAAATTCCAATTATAAGGTAAAGTTCCACCCCTTTACATAAAGTCTCATACATTTTGACGAATTTTGTGGCTTCAGTTCCTTCAAAATGATCCTTTGGTAGTTGAATTCTTGATTATATAATTGAGTCTATCTGCTGTATATTGTGCATGAAAATAGAAATAGTAGTAACCGTCCATCTATAAAAGTTTGGGAAATTACATGAGTCTATCAGGGCAGCTACATCGGATTCTGATCTTTTGCTTTGATCAATCAATCACCTTCAATCTTTTAGAAAACTGAGATATAGGCATGTGACTATAATTAGTGAAGGCCTTTCAACTCTTCATTCACATGGAAACAATGTGCTGTCATAATGTTGCTTCTTTCTCTGCTCAAGTGGGTCTTAGATTACACTGCTGGCAATAGAGCGTGATATAGAGGGCAGCAGTCAAATCTGTACTTTGTATGGCTTGTTGGGAGCAGTTTATAAAAATTATTTTCGATCTTAAAAATTAGAAATAGAAGGGTTGTTTGCTAAAAAATAAATAAATAAATAAATAGTGAAAACATGTGTGGTAGAATCATAGGAAATTGTTTACTCTTGTTTTTTGTTTTACTTTAATCCCAAAAGTACAAATTTTTATATTAGTATGTTCGGCGGGGGCTCCCTTGGTATAAGGGAGCAAAGCTCCGACTCCCAGTTATACAAAAAGTGCACCCTATAACCTTTTAAGAGCCACCCAAAAGCTATTTTCAAAAGAAAATTTGAAAACGGAAGTAGGAAACTATTTTTCAAAATGGCTTCTGATCAACAAAATTTTAATTTACAAATAAGTGTGTTATTGTGTACTGTTTTTAAGTAATCCTTTTTCTGTTATCTAAAGATAGTTTTCATATGCATTGTTGTTCTTCATATATAACAAAAACTATTTAACTGAAATACAATAGCAAAGAAGAATCTGTTCAAACCATGTTTCGAAGTGAAAAATAACTAACAACTTTTCAAAATTGTTTAGAACGCATTTAATATATGATTTTACAAAAAAACTACTTCCATATAGACTGCCAAAGACGTTTTCTCAAATTTCTGCATTAATGTTGTAAGCTTTCTTTCTAATTCATGCCTTTGATATACATTGTTTAGAAGAGAGTCATGCCACTTTGTTTATTAGCCTGGTTTGGATTGAATTCACATTAGATTGACCCCGAAGCGGCAACCCCGTTGTCTCCCGACTCGGGGTCCTACTTCCTGATTTTTCGAACCTTCCAGTAGAAAGTTTAATAAATGAAAAACTTCGATAACTTTTCAGAGCTTAGCATTAGATTGAATACTAGATTTCGAGACATGTTGCACATTGCTTGATTGCCATTTGTTATAAATCTGAAACTGCGGGTCAATGTCGTCGTTGGCGCAGGCAAGAAGAAGAAGCTAGCAGAACCATTTCACTGTGCACAGGGATGCAGAGCTCCACCCTAGCAGGGCTTCTCGCTACTCAGTTCCTCGGGAGCACGCAGGCCGTTCCACCAGCGTGCTCGGTAGTCGCCATGGCGATCATGGGCCTTTGTCTAGCTTCCTTCTGGGGCAGTGGCTCAAAAATCAGAGACTTGCCATCTCTTTTGATACAGAAAACCAATTAATTCCATTGCCAGTGCTTCTTGAATCTGCTTGAATTAGCAACCTCTCCATCTCTTAAAACTGATTGGAAGCCCCACAAGGGAAAAAAAGTGCTTCTGCCAATAGCAGCAGCAGCAGTTGGAAACTTTTCTGTACAGAGAGAAATCAGGTACCACATAGAATACTAAGATAGCAGGAAATATATATCTTTACTTTTATAAGTTCATATGATACAATAAATTTCCTGGATGCTGGATAATCCACAAGGTATAAAGGTATCATAATAGTTTTCAAATAAAAGCAAGAAAAAAAAAATGTTTTGGCATCAAATTTCCATTGATTGGTCCAATCGGCATTTTCATATGTCAATGGGATCGATATTGACACAAGGAGTGAATTGATATTTCTATTAAATCGTAAAAAAAATCTACAAGATGTAAGAAAATATCAATAAGATATCACTAATGTAGACCTAGTATTAATAATAAGAATTTTAACTTAATTAGAAAAGGTGAAATGTTTACTGGTTAATTTAAATATATTTTATGTATTTCTTAATTTTTATGATTTTTCAAGAATATTCATCCATTTTACTCAATATTTCTATAAAATCGAGACCTCAGACATTTCCATCAAAATAGACATTTAAAATCTTGGTAAATAGCCATGTGTTCATATGTTGATTTTTGGGTTTTTTTTTCCACCAAAATTGGTAACTCAAATCTCACTATTTTGGGTAGGAAGTTATTATTGGAAATTAACTTAATTGAATTGAGAATGTTATTTTTGTTGTAAAATTGAGGAATGAAACGAGGCAACGTCGGGGAAATAAAATAAACAAAACAATTCAAATAATAAAGAAATTTCAAAATTCAAATTGGAATTTCCCACCAATTTTCAAACTTGATTATGCACCAAATTTCTGATTAATTTCTCACAAAGTCTCACCACTAATTTCTCACAAATTCTCACTATTAATTGAGCACCACATTGACCTAGGTCATGGATAAGCATGTGGCGTAGAGGACACATGAAGCATGGATTTTGAGACACCTAAAAATTGGACACTAAACAAGGGTTAGTGGGCATCTATTTAATTAAAAATTCATAATAATTTTGAATTTTAAGATTTGTCTTGATAGAAGTAAGGAGGGTAAATTATTTTCATTGGGAAAGCAGTTTCTTCCAAGTTTCTATTATCATTCTACACTTTTTTTTGGCTATTAATCTCAATAATCACAAGTCAATAGGTACATGAGAAAATTTTAAGCACTATTGTAGCAAGTACTACTTTAGATTAAAATAAATGAAGGGTGAATTCACGTAATAAAATAGTATATTTATTAATTATGTAGCGGAATGTTAATAAGAATACATACTACTGTGGTACTAGATATTTTTCGAGACATATTTTTCACTGTCTTAATTAATTATGTATATTGATATATCTAGAAATTTTAATAAACATTTTTTTCTTATAATTCTAATGAAATGTTTTATTTTATACTTTATGTTTAAAGCACATTTCCAATATTGAGTATTATCTGCAATGTCCCTTTTATTTTATATTTAGAAAAAGATATATTTAATTAAGGTCCCATTCGATAAGTATTGGTTTCTGGTTTTTGAAAATCAAGTTAATGAACACTATTTTTACCTATGTATTTTTAGGTTTTTTTTTTTTTGGCTTTTGAAAGGTATTTTTATTGTGAGAAAGTAAGTAACTTTTTTTTTTTTAAATAACAAGAACAAATGAAATGATAATCAAACATGCTGTAGTTTTCAAAAATTTGTTTTTGTTTTAAAAATTCGGTTAAGAATTAAATGTCGTTCTAAGAAAAAGGTGAGAAACTTACCAAAGAGATTGTGAGGAAGTAAGTGTAAGTTTTAAAAATAGAAAATAAAAAACAAAATCATGACCAAGCAAGACCTTAATAAATCAATTTTTACTTTAATTGTTAATTGAACTTTAAACTCGAATAACTCGTGAAATTAATGATTTATACTATAAAAGGATGCTGCAAACTTGTTAAGAAGTGTTGGTTGATGAAGGTTTTTTTTTTCTTGAAATAATTGGATGTCGAAATTATAGTATGGTACATTTGGATTTGATAAAGTTATGGTGTAGCATATCTAGATATGATAGGACAAATTGAAGTAAGTTATGGCAATGATATATGATATGATAGGACAATATCTAATAATGCATAGCCAATAATAAGATGGCAAAAAGAGAGATTTGTATGCATTTTATAGAGCCACAATAAAGATAAAACTCATTCTTCCACATGTTGGAGTATACACAAAATATATAAAAGGCATAGGTTTAAATTTATTTTGGTTATGATTTGTTATATTTTGGTCTTTAAATTTTTAAAATATCTATTTTAGTTTTTGGATTTTTTATATTATTTATTTAGTCCCTGAATTTTGAAAAAATAACCGTTTTTGGTAATAGCTATATTATTACTATCTAGCTATTATTCACTTACACAATACTCGCCTTCAATCTATGTGGTTTGAATACATGCTCACGACAGCACTTGTTCAGAGTCACATTATCAAATTTTAAAAAAGAAACGTAAGGGCCGA